AAAAAAAAAAAAAAAAAAAAGAAAAAGAAAATCTAAAAAAAAATTGACGAAGAAAGAACAAGAAAAGCAGCTTCTTCTACGATCAAAAGCGTTCCATAATTTCAAAAAGGTCAAGTACCACTTAATCTAAAGATAATATTGATATTTCCTCGACGGGAAACGATCGTTTTCCTTGCCACGCTTTTGCTTATACGTGGCAAACTGAAATATTGTATCAAAGTTGTAGCTCCGCTTTAATACTCACGTTCCATCGCGTGACCGAGACGCATTCGTTCAAGAAGTTTACGGTTATTCTCGTCAAGAAAGAGTCACCGACTTTCAAGCTTTGCCTTAACTCGATCGAAAAGACGTGTCGTGTCGCTCGATTTCTTTTTCCATTTCCATAATGCGCTTCGCTTCGTTTCTGGCGAAAAATATAGAAACAAAGAAAAAGAAAAAAAAAAAAGAAAAAGAAAATAAAAAATAGGCCGATTTATCGTTATACAATTAATGTATACTGCTCGTCGAACCTGTTTTTAACGTAGCGAAACGTAAGAAGCGAGAAATAAAAGTTGGAGAAAGGGAAATCTCCATTGGTAGCGTGACATTAGTTCGATATCGAAAGTAAGTGTATACGGTGTGGAATAAAAGTATTGGCACAATTCTCCAATAAGGTTTTTCGTATTTAATGTGTATTTAAAATATAGGATTTTCTTTTCTCTCTTTCTTTCTTTGTTAAAAATCTAATTTTAGAATTTAAATAATTTATTATTGGTAAGTAAGTTCAATAAAGAGTACAATAAAGATAAATATTAAGAAACGTATGAAGAACTATTTTCGTAAAACATGAGTATTGCTGTATGTATTATTTTATAATGTAAATAGTTACAGTATTAAATATTCGTTTTTTTTTAACTTTACTATTTCAAATTATATTTTTATAAAAATTTGCAATAAAAATTCTATGTTTTGATTTATGAAGAGTGTCATTAAAAAAATTTGGGTAATAAAGGAAATATTTTGATTGTCATTATATACTTGCTGTACATTACATTTATTGACAAAGAAATAAAGTAATCGTTTACGAATTTCTTTATATTTCTTCTATTCTCTGAGATGAGAATATATTTGAAAAATAATCTTATCATTTAATGTAATGTATGAGCTGTCTTATCTTTAACTTTAAGTTTCATACATTGAAAATGCATTCATAAACATTAATAAACAATAAGATTATTTTTCAAATGTATTTGAAATAACAAAGAATAAATAAAGATAAGAAATATAAAGAATCTCGCTTAATTTTTATCAGTAACTATATATATACTCTTTAACTATATTCTTAACAATACGTTTTAAAATTATAATTGTAATATAATATTATTAATTATTTTAATAATTAATATTTTTTTGAAATTAATTAAATTAATATAAATAATTAAACTAATATTAAGAAAAATATTGAATATTATTATCAAGAAAGATGTATTAAAATATTAGAGATCTAAAGAAATTTTTTTATTCTTCTTTAAAATATAGTTTACTATAATGTTATAAATTTTCATTTCTTTAAATTTTATAAGATTGTATAATTTATAATTAAATAAAAAAAGAAATACTTATAAAAAAGATTAAATAAAAACTTATTAGGTATGAAAAAAATAAATTCATAAATTAATATTAATTATTTATAACTTGTGTTTAAAATTAGTATTTGTTGGTTGAGAGAATATCAATTTAAGATTTGCAAGATTTTTATTAATAATAATTATTATTATTATTAAAGATATATTATTAAAGAGATTATTATTAAAGATTATTATTAAAGATATATATAATTATTATTATTAAAGAAAATATTGTTGCTTTTAATTTTTAATTCGATGTTATTATGCATTCTTAATATAATGATTTAAACTATTCAAAGTCGTTCTCTTTAATTCATAGTTATGTTATTGTTGCATCAAGTGCGTAGATATGTATTTTCTAACGTTACGTAAGATGTTGCGAACGTAAAACTGTACGCAAATAAAGCAAGTAACAAATTACATCAATTTTGCTCGAACTGCTCGAGCAAATTTTTATTTTACGATTTTTAATTTCTTTAAAATTCTTCATGTTATTAATGCATTAAAAAAAATACATATATAAGGAGATAAATTTTTTAAAATTGCAATCAAACAGACAAATTTTTTTAATTTACATCAACTGACCTTGAATATAATCTGAAATAATACTGTTACAATTATGTCATTATACTTTCAAGTGAATTTTATATATCTTCAAATATTAATTTTTTTATAACTTTCAATTAAATATGTAATGATATATCTTCAATTAATGCAATTACCAAAACATTTGCATTTATACATTATGATATTTTACTATATCTAAAAATTAACTTATATAAAAATATATAAATTTGCATTTGTTTCGAATATCTCACTATAACATTATCTTTTTTATTATAAATTTTATTGCAAATAATAAATTTTTCCATATTCCATTTATCTTTTTTCCAAATATTTATTATTAGTCTTGTTAACGACTCGTTTCTAATATAAAGATAAATATGAGTTGCGATTGAAAAATATATTTAATCTATTTAAATAACTAAGCTTTGAAAGCGGAATCTTTTAAAGATGTCGAAGGAAATAAAAAAAACAATATGAAAAAAGTAAAAATAAACACGAATAAATTAATCCTTAATAAATTAAGAATCATAGCATGTATATATTGAAGAATGAGAAATAAAAAGTGTTTGAATAAGAAAGAAAGAGAATATGAATTAAGAATATCAATAAATTTCATTAATAATTATATGCATCGATGAATATAATTATTTTTGATTCTTTCATCGTAAACATTTCTTCAATCCTGATTATTACAGAATTTTTTACTACATCTTTCGATTTTCGATCTAATTATATTCTTTTATTATTAAAATTCTATTTTTAAAATTAATTAATAAAATAAATATTAAAGAACTATTATCGATATATTTAATTTTTTTATGTTAAATTTTTTTCTGAGGACATTTATAATTTTTATATATAAATTATATTGAAACGAAAGAGAATTTGAAATATAAAATTTCGAAGATCGTAGCAGAGTTAAAGTCAAGGTTAACTTAATACATGTACATGGTAAGCAATTGCCCATAAAGATATTCACGAATCTTGTGAGCTTTAGATATCAATTATAAACAGATACACAGAAAAATATAGAATAGAATTTCCATTATCTGAAAATTTTACTAAATGAAACATTCTATTATCCAAACTATTATCAAAATTTATTATATTATATTATATTATATATATTTATTCGTAACAATGTAAACAATCACAATATAGAGTTTAATTTAACAGTAAATAAAAAATGATAGTATATATTATAGCATTGAAATATAAATATGTATTTACTTAATGTTAAATAAGCAGTATTGAAAATAGAAATATTTAAAAAATTAATGCTAAAAGAATTAGCAAAGTTACATATGATAATGGAATACAAGTATTGGCATTAAAAAATAGAATTGGAAATTTGCAAGATGCACATTAAGTTCTATATTAAAAAATTTGATAAAAAAGTGTAATATTTTATACAATATTATCTGAACTCTATTATAAATAAGTATATTATTATTTTCCTCAAACTATAAAATAATTCATTTGTGTTCTATCTGCATTCTTATCTGAAAATTTCTTTATTGAAATGATCTTTGCTCTCTCTATTAGTTCGGATAATGGAGTATATATATCTATATTATATTATATATTGTAGTTCGGGAATAACTACACATTGCTTTGTTCTTTAAACCTTTAAAGAAACCGAAAGCAAAAATAACATGAGACGAAAATAAAATTATAAATAATTTAAAATTTATTATAATTATTGTTATAAATTTTGGATACATGATATTAATTATATATAAAATTAGAATTAAACATTTATATCTTAAATATAGATACGTGATAAACATAAATAATGAACAAAATGATTTTTTGACATACAAAAATAACTTTTTCTTAATATATTACTTAATACTTTTAAGTGTTTCACTAATGAAAAATTGCAATTTAAGTCTTAAAGCGTGATTGGAAGTGATTGTAACGTTGGCAATTCGGATTAATTGTAATGTCATAATCGATATTCGATAAAAAGTATTATTATCTTTTCTGCATATTTTGCCAAATGAAAAATTGATGCAATACATTGAATGCAAGTTTAAGTACATGAAAAATCCATCAAAAAATAATTTTAATTAATATAATATATAATTGTTATATAAAATAATTCTTAATTCAGAAAAAAATTTGTAATTTCATTTTAATATATTGTAATATATTTCAATAAATTTAATTTTTTTAAAATTGTATCAACTGTCCTGACGATTGTTATACTTTTTCCGATCTAAATTTGAATATTATTTGACATAAAACGAATAAAATAAATTACTACGATTCAATAATATCAGATAACTATATATAACACTGCTGCAAAATTTTTTATTATAATTATAATCACAATTCAAATTCAAATTACTTTCATCCTGATCTATAATTAAAACAATCCTATTTAATCTCAACTTTCATCATTTAAAAATATCATGTGATATAAAATCAAAAATATATAACAGAATAATAATAAGAATATTACTTATTCATATTACAGAATCGTTTCATATCGAAAAAAAAAAATCGCTTATCTACGCAACCATCTATGCAACGCGGTGAAAATTTGTAAAAGTCTGATCGCAACCACGAATCGATCACTGTTGCTGGATACGTATATATATATATATATATGTATACATGTATCAACGTTTCAGTAGTACAGCTAGCGAGTAGCGCGCGACCCGTTTCATTATGGCCATTTACGCTATAACTACTGTGTATAGCGTCGTATGGGATACAGATCTATGTACGATGCAACTAGCTTCGTATTGATATTGCTATACCATACATTTATAACTAGTGGCTAGTAGGTAAGGCTAGTAACTAAGCGCATAAATGGATAGGTAGGTTGGTAGGTAGGTAGGTTGGTGGGTTGTTAGGTAGATAGACAGATAGGTTGGTAGGTTGGTAGGTTGGTAGGTAGGTTAGACAGGTAGGTAAGCAGTCAGGCACGCAGGTAAGTAGGTAGGAGTAGTAGGATAATCTTGTGGAAAGCTAGGCTGCGGTACTCTGCGGTACTGTGTGCCGCCATCTTGCTTTATCGATTTTAACTCCTACCCTCGGACTCGCGGACTACCAATTCCCACATGTTTCTTCCCTCTCTTTTTCATTAACAATTTTTCTTTTTTTCCTCGAGCATTCTCATATCGAACGAACGCTTGAAGCAAGATTTATATACGTATATATTTTTTTTTTTTCAATTTTATTATATCGAATATCACGTTTATATTACGTTGCAGTGGGATCGTAATCACATGGAAATCTTTGACGATAATTAACTGCAAACGAATAGTACGTGGGGAAAATAGATAACGAAGAAATGAGATTGGGACGGTATCAAGGGAATATTTTATTGATTAACTAACGAAATATACCGATGCATGACTTGAATTAAAAATAACTTGCGGCTTAATTCTGAAATAGTTATAAGATACA